CATTGGACTGGTGATTGCTGGGATCTTCAATAGATGCCTGCAACTTAGCTATTTCCTAGACAGATGGAGATGGGCAGAGGTGGTAATGATCTCTAAGATCGGAAAGAAAGACAAATCGTTAGTACGATCCTGGCGACCGATAGCTCTACTCTTATGTATCTCGAAGGGTCTGGAATGTATAATCGCTCGATGTATCTTATGGATCGCGATGATAGCAGGTATACTCAGCCCCTAGCACGGTGGAGCGCTCTCCAAGCGAGCAGCAATGGACCTAGTCACTTCGTTTGCACACGATGTCGAAGAGGCCTTTGCCTGCAAACAAGAAGTCACGATAGTTACACTGGACGTACAAGGCGCGTTCGATGCATTCCTGCCGAACAGGTTACTGGAACGCATGCGCCAGCAAGGGTGGCCCTGCTTACTCCTGCAATTAGTCCAAGTCTTTCTGAGCGATCGCTTAGTAAAAGTTCGGCTGGAAAATGCAATTACAGAATATAGTCGTGTCAAGTGCGGCACCCTGCAAGGCTCCCCATTCTCATTTATACTATACGTTCTGTATCTTGCTAAGCTTTTGAATCAAGATATCAAACTGCACTTCGGATATACTGACAATATCTACATCTATCATACATCCAAGAACATTTACAAGAATATTAATCTCCTCAAACACAATCTCCGCTAGATTTTCCAATGGGGTGAACAAACCATATAGTATTTGCATTGGAAAAGCTAGAGATAATACACTTTTCCTGGAGGAGAGAGGTGTACACCCTGTATCTGAAGGTAAACAATGAAATAACAATCCATCCAATCAGCGAGACGAACAACAAAACTGTTCAACCAGCCCTACGCTAACTGGGAATCTGATTTAATCAAAAGCTTTTCTTCAAAAGACATATAGCAGAACAAGAAGCAAAAGCCCGTAAGGTCACAAGGCACATCAAAGAGCTCGCACAGACACAACACGGCCCGCTAGCTGCAGCACTGCGCAAGGCAATGATCACCTACGTCCTCCCCACTGCCCTCTATGAATCCGAGGTATGGTACACAAACCGAATAAAGCCAAACCAAGCAGGGGAAGCCGCCTATAGCATAATGGTAAGCACAAGACTGAGCAGTTACATTACCAAGGTCGATCAAACGATTATCCTAACAACAAGAGGAGTTTTACCCGCTTGGTGCATAACTCCAACCATTGCGATCCTGAGAGACTCTGGATTACCGCCCAGCGAGCTAGCATTCGAATAGGTACAAATAAGATTCGCGCTCCGACTCTGCAAGGTGAACGAAAACCACCCACTGGCGATTCGTCTAGTGCGAGCATCTCAATGCAAGATAAACAACACCAACCTCTGCAGACTAGCCGGATTGATCCCGAAAGCACCGAGACTAATACTCTTCCCGCCGCACTTTTCTGCAGGGAGCCGCAAAGACCCTACAGGAGGTATGAAGAAAGAAGCAGCCGCATTTGAATTCATACAATAATGGAACTATCTGCCTGATAGCTATATTACAGTCTTCTCGAACGATACTGAACAGTATTACCGAGGGCAAAAGATAGTCGACTATGGCTATGCGATCTATCGGGGATAATTTCCAGTAGTATCCGGTTATGGGGCGATCAACCCACTCTTGCATATCTTCGACATTGAGATAGTAAGCGCTCTAAAAGGTTTGGAATGTACTGTTCGATTAGAGCCGGCTAGGCAAATCACTATATACATCGATAGCACCTCAATCATCTGATGTATCAAGGGCAACACCTCTGACTCATCCCAATAGGCATTTCTGTGTTATCATGAGATTATAAGGAATAGGTAAGTGGCGATCCGATGGTCGCCTGAATATACTGGAATTCTTGGAAACAAGAAGACTGATTGGCTCGCTGATTTAGGTACTTGTAGTGGTTATATTGAGAATGACAATTCATTGCTTTTTATTATTAGTAAAATAAGCTCAATAGCCAAAACCTTTAGATAAAAAAACAGAATAGAAATGGTAAAAGCGAAATAAGGTTACCCTCGCTGGCCAATACCATTACTAACACCTCAGTTATTAAGTCAAGGAATCTGAAAAACTTACCCTCCCCTGTTCTATTCTTTAACAACTAATAACACTCAGAACCAAACACGGGGATTTTGCATCCTACCACCAATGCTTTTAGTACGACAATACTATTTCAGAATGTTTCTGTGGATACAGCAAAGAGTCTAAGCACCTGGTGCTTTGCTGATATTTTTGTATTCAATTTGATAATTGGTTGAATAAATCTGGCTTAATTCCGTGAGACACAAAGGGTGCAATCGACTATTTCTCTCTTCTTCTAAAGACCCCAACAGACTTTGTAATCTTCCTAACAATTATTAATCATTTCAAGCAACCACACTCAGTCTCTCCGGAGATCCTCTGATCTCCCACTTTCATATTACCAACCGGGGCTGTACTCCCTCTGGAGCTGCTTTCCCCCCTCCACCACCACGTACAAACTGCACCAAACAAAAACTGACAATATAGGGTCCTCTGGCCAGCCGCAAACCTAAACTATCCAGTATAAAGTGGATTGAACAGTACCAACATTGCAAGCGGGAGACAAACGGCAGGAGTGCGCACAGCGCTTCTGGCCGCTTTTCCCCCAGTCTATATCACAGCCATAGAAGAACAGAACGCGTAGCTATGCCGGCACCCCCGCTAGTATAGTCCATCCCTAGTATCCCCTGGGAGGTCGTGGCGAGCCCCTGCAGCTTGCCCCCTGGATGTAAATTAAAATAAATAAATAAATAAATAAATAAATAAATATATTAGTTTCAATATAATAATAATAACAGTAGTAGGCGAAAGAGGTTTAGCTAATACTTTTATTTATAATTCGATTTTGTATGTAGTAATTTCCAAATAAATGATTTGAGAGGTGATGATATTAGAAGTTATAATAAGCTTCCCCTTTTTAGTATATTCTCTAAAGATTTCTAAAAAATCTAAAAGCTTAGATTGTTTTTTGTATAATTAGGAGAAAAAGAAAACTAGCATTATAAGATCTCTAGTTTTCAAAATAACTTTCTTAAATATATTTAGATTATTTTAAATTCTAGATTGTTTGTTTTGATTACTAAGAATATTATAGAGTTCTGTTTTTTATTCTAATTAAATATATAGATAGTATTGATTATATCTTAAATAATAAAAAGGTTATTAAATAAATTGAATTTTTTAAATCTTTTTTCAGAACTAATTAACTGGTTGATTGATAGAATAGAGCTAGAGATTTCGAATTGAAAGTTTTCAAAAGGTAAGAAAAGATTTGAAAATATTGGGATACTTAGAACAATAATAAAATAAGTATTTAATATAATAAAGGCTTTAAAAGGAGCCTTCATTATAATCGTATTTCTAAGTATTAATAGATTGTTAAAAGAGTTTATATTGAGGATTTTATTCTTATTCTGGTAATTTAGAGTAAGAAAATTTTATACGAATTTTCGTGTATATTTTGTATTCGGAGCATCGATAATAGTAATACAACAATTATTAATTAGAATCACTAGGGGGCAATTGTAATCAATTTGGTTTAATAACTATAATCTAAATCGATTGCGAAAGGGTTGTATTTCAAAGAAAAAGTTTCCTTCGAAATTTGTTGTGTGACTTTTAGCCAAGTAGTAGTCAAATAAAAAATCAATATACCTGATTCCCTTTCAAATTCTGTGGGTAACTTCACGCTGCTAATAATCATGTAGTAGGAAAACCGAAGGAGACAGGAGAGATTCAACTGCAACTTCATCCTCAATATAACAGGGTAGATTACCATGTCGCAGTGTAGCCCTCAGGAGCTGCACTTTGCAACTTTCCATCCACAGAAAGTCTCCATAGCTCTGACGAGTAGAAAAGATCGAAAAGCTGCCCTGTTTTGATCCGCACATAGGTTCGTGGCAAATACGCATCCAAATGTGAAAAATATCAATATGTCAACTCATATGAAATGTAAGACCATGCTGCTAGCGGATGTGACTTGCTATAATAGGCTAACCCCTCGCTTCTCTCTAGAGGTCGGCGAAAATTTGCAGTAGAAATAGAGACACTAACGGTAAGAGATAATGGAGGGTACATAGTTGATAATTCAAAAGTGAGAAGTTACAGCTGAAGTTGCTTTGTTTGTTGAATTGAGGAAGGAAAAGCTCCACATCTAAGCTCTAAGGAGAGACAAAGATGATAAAGAGCTGAAGAGATGGCAATATACAATTCTTGTGTAGAAGTGCAATTCGAGCTTGTAGTCAACTAGTAAATACCAGATGGAAGTTGAGATAATGAATCTCTAAGGATTCAATCACATAGATGTGTTTCACTGTCCATCTAACATAGAACAGGTGAATTCTAGAGCTGGTACGATCAGGGGATATGAGCACGGCAAATCCATCTAGTCTGAGGAATATGGTATCCATGTAAATAGTCACAAGCGCCTTCACACAGTTTAAGGCATTTATCTCCATGAAAATTACATAAAATATCGGTTGAATTTAAATTGGCCTGGTACGGCACGTTCTACTGTACCTCCACGTGACATAAAACTGCTCACCAGATCAATACTGTCAGCTTTATGGCCCGGGTTCTATTCTAAATTTGCTTCCTGACAACACTTTTGATTTCTTATAGATTATAAGCCACGGCTTTCCCTTTCAACATCAAAACGACAAACAACACTTCGGTCACTGATAATTAAAAACTATTGGAAGTTTCGTTTGATTTCAGTTCTTGCAAATCCAAGCAATCTTGGACCAGGCTACCAAGAAATCGAACTTTGGATACTTTGTTTTTTACATTCGTTTTGAATTTCTGGATTTGAAGTTAAAAAAAGAAAAGGTTCGTACTTTAAAGGACGATTCACCTCACTCCTACCTCATCATCTCAAGCCCTATCCTTGCGTTTCCAGTTATATGTCATGATACATATACTAATTTATTGAAGAAGTAATTCGGTTCTTACATAGTCTGAGACGCTTCCATAACATGGCAACACCTTTTCTTGACCTAGATTATCCTCGCTGGAACAATTCAGTACTAGACCAGAAATACTTTCGTTGGAACAAACTGTTTGATACGATGAACTTTGATGACGATGAATCTCTGGGAAAGATACTTCAAGCTGCTGGTGCAGCAGAAAGATTTCATCCTTTCAACCTCAAGCTGATTGAAGGTACCGACTTGAACGAATTTGAAATGGTTGCAGTTCGCGACCTTTCGTATGCGTTCAATCGCAATTTTTTCTGCCGTGATGTAGTGCGCCACCTCATATTGTTCTCCAGATACGAGGATAAAGTCTTCACTCTCGGGAAAGCAACAAAGCTTTGCACGGATATACTCAAAATCACCAAATTAAGTCCTGTACGTCAGCCAGATATGTATCTCAAGATTCGAAGAGAATTCTGTCGATTAGCGCCAGACCTGGAAAATCTTGATGAAGATGAAGCGGAGGCAGAATTAGATCGATGGGCAAGATGGAGGTATCATGAAACACGGGTCGTCACGGGACTTGGGATAAGACAATCTGCTCAGGGACAGGACGATGATCCAGCATCTCCTGAAAGCATGAACGCCAATGTTGAGAATAGCCGGGAAGTAACATCTGTGAGAAATACAACAGAAGGCGAGTTACTTGAGGTATTTTTTCTTATTCCAATCGATTGACATCATGCTAATTCAATTTTCAAAGGCGGCTAAGGTTCTCGTTTCGATGAGCTCACAGGGAATTGCAGATGGCCTGGTTGTGACTCCTGTTCCAACTCCACAGACTCAAATTTCCAATAAAAGAAAGCGCGATGAGACATCTAGTGACCCAGATAATGAATAAACTCCATCTCAGAACAAAAAAAGTCTTCACAAGTTATCACTACAGAAGACGAAGCTTATCACAGATTCATCCCATTTTGATAAGATCATTATTTTTATCACGGAGTAAAGATCCAAATCTTTTCAGTTATCCAAACAAGCGGGCGACCTACCAAGTCCTCGAGGGCTTTCTGGCGGAATCGAACCACAACAGATAAAAGACATGCCAGAGAAGTTAACACAGAATAAAACCGCGAATAGTCACACGTTCTGGCTACTTGAAGAGATAGATACTTTGTGCGAAATCTTGGAGAGCCACACAAGAGAATCTCGCACAGGGAGAGGCGCGAATCCAATCGTTTGGAAGTCAGGTACTGATGAGCTCAATCGTCGCTTTGAGGGTCGCTTACAAAAGAAAGACGGGAAATATTTTCTAACAGAAGATCGTTGTGCACCGAAAAGGAGTATTGGTAGTATCCAAAAGATTTTTCAAGCTGACTTACGCTTGAAGAGTATCTAAGAAGCACACAACAATGTGAAGAAGGAACCAGACATCGCGATGGATGAGAAATCAATTCAAGTAGAAGTTTCTGCGGAAGATCAATTATGGTTCCAAAGATCTACTTCAATAGTCGCTGATAGTCTCACCAAATCTAGAGTCCCCCACGAATGTTCAAATGGAAAGGGATCAGATACATTGACAGCAACGACCGTGCAGAGGCAAAACTTCACACACCGGACAAGAGCAAGACTATCATTGAGTACATAAGTTTACCCAATGAGCCGAAACAAGACAACCCTGAACACTTTAAATTGGGCCGAGTTCTATTTGAATACAGACCGAAAATGAGCTGGAGCTCACGAAGTGCTGTTATGATGCTTAATCAATGGCGTCAAATACTGTTACACAGGACATCAGGGGTTTCTTTAAAAGGAAAGAAAACGGGGCTCGATTTTACTTGCCCTTGGTTTTGGGATGAAACTTACAGACTTGGGAACACAGTGATCGAGCATATGGATGAAATTAGTCTTCGCGATAGAAATGTGTCTGGGGTGTATTCTTGGTCGGTCACTAAAGAGTTTAACGACAGTCTCGGGCTGTATCGGACCAAAACCCAAATCACAAAATTGGTTGCCGGTAAAGACTCCAGAGAATTGAAAGATGACTACATGATAGAACAGAAAGAGAGAAAGAGAGAGATAGATGATGCGAATGCGGCGGCTGCTTTTGCGTTGTCGGCGAAGAAGTCAAAAATTTCCTCCCCCGGCGACGATCAGTAACACCCATTACAACTCTGCGCGTTCCATTCTTGAGATATCTAGAGTTGCGTCTGCTTGTCACGCGAATTTATCATCGAGAGGTCATCTTTCAGTCAATAATATCGTTGGGGATCGATTGTTTAGGATTTCTTATGAGGCGGTAAGAGTCTGTAACGTTAACGTGAGGCTAGTAGTGGATTCTTTGGGACAAGAATTGACGGTCTTGTATTCTCGTCGATGGGTTCCGGGAAAGTTGAGTTTGAGATTGAAGAGTAATCAGAATTATTCAGTCCTCATTCAGCGTTAATAATAAAGCTTCTACATCATGTGCCATGATTTTATCATTCAAGCCTGACTGAATCGAATCGTTTATACACTGACCGGGAACTCAGCATGTCATCAAAATACTATTAAGCATTGAAACTACCAGATCTAACATTAAGTAAAGGCTACGTGGATATGAATCTGAGAGGTTTTGAGAGGTTTTTTTTAATTGCGTATCACGGCCTAGCCTCTGTCAATTCTGTGTACAGGTCACAAATATTCCTTTCATCCCTCTGCCGCTCCTTATGCAGATTATATAGACTTTTTGTTACCGCTGCTTCAGCTGTAGTCCTCTACTACTGCATGCGTTTTAATTTCAGACTGAAGACCAACATCTAATTGACCATTGCAAATAGCCATCTTTCATCCATTTCTAACTAGCCATCCTTTGGCACCTAGACCCAGAAGACCCTAGACTGGCGTTCCTCTTAATCTTTAGAATTGAACTATCCAACGCTGGTTCTCCCAAGCATTAACCTATATCTGTAGCTGTCCGTCTTCATAAACTTTGATTAGATTGTGATAATCCTGCCAAAATCTGAGTTAACGTATGTGAAGTAGAGTTTTGTCAGATTGAAAAAGTTTAGGCGTAATATTTAATGGGGGTATAGATTGAATAGTTGAGCGCAAGACGCAGATCAACATTTCTCAGGTCTTCTGAGGATGAGGCATAGTCACTTGGATCTGAAATAAGAGCGCAGACTTGAATCCGCAGCTCAGCAGGTGTATATAATAAATTTCTTGAGACACTTAGAGACCGAGTGCTAGAATCAAATCTACGATACATAATTTGATGAATTACAAAGGTTCAAATGAAGTTTTGCTCACATTGGCTATATTTTTACACATTTTAGAAGGTTGAGACTTTGGGCTTGGGTATGGGGCAAGAGTGAAGAGTCTGGAGACAACCTTAGCGATGTCTGTGAAAAAGTCACGCGAAGGAAGGAACTCCATAAACTGACTGTTATGATTTTTTGTATTGCAAATTGAGCCCCTTAAAGTAAATCCTGTTGATACAACTGGAGTACCAAAAACGCAAACCACGGTGAGCGATGTATAATATTTTACGATCCTCTTCCTACTAGTCCCTACTTTCCTGCAAATCTGTAGACTGGTTTCCTGATATGGGGATACTATCGATCTAATTCCAGTAGCTTAGAAAATGCGTGGCAAATTTTCTGTTGAAACCAATTCGAAACTTTACAGAAATTGCCAAAAACGCCAGAGATTATCATCAAGAGATGTAGCTCAAAATTAAGACCAAGCTGAGAAATTCAAAGATTATACTCGACTCCAATCTCGCGGCTCGGTAATTCGAAAGATCTCTCAATCATCTCAAAGATAACAAACCACTTCTTGACATGCGTATTCTGATCGCGTCGCTGTTGCTTTGGTGTCAAGGTCCTGAGTCTATCAAGATCGACTGGAAGAAATTTTATGGGTCCTTGGCGACTGGATGGATGCTGGCGACGGCCATTTGCAAGTCTCGGTGTTACGTGGCGTGCAGCTCTGCGTTTCTGAGCACGGAACTTCTCCATCTCTTTGCTGCTGGCAACCATTGTGATAAATTCATCATCAATATTTCTGATGGAGTCTACAGGCTCTCTGATTCTCGTCGAGGTTTCTTTTTGAGCGATTTGTGGCTTTTGGGGCTGCTCTACCGTCACCTTGGGAGCACTTGGCTTCTTGATAACTTTATTCTCGATACCATGATTTCTGACATCCATCGTTCGCTCTATTTGTCCCAAGTCTCTAGGTGTGTACTTGCGAATCTTCTCTCGTCTCCAGTCGTTCAGGAGAAAAATGTCGCTCTCGTCGTTCCAGTCGAATGGCTCACCATTGCCATAACCCCGATCATAATAGACCTCTCGACCCAAGCCAGCTTCTGTCACACTCAGCAGTGCAATTCGCATTTTGTTGGGCTCCTGTGATCCAACCACTGCTGGTGTGAGGTCTTGTCTGGGTTTGAGTGTCCAGTCGCGCTTGCCGCCAAGCTTGCTTCGAAGAGGAGGTGGGAGTGATGTATTCATCTTGTAAGGGAGTCTTGGGGAGTACGTCTTTTCTTGCTGCTGGATTGTCTAAACAACTTTTTGAGGGGTTATGCTGGTGGAAGGCTAGTTTGAGTGTAATAGTTAGTCTATGGTGCAGAAGAAAACATAGATAATCTTATGCTAAAAGGGAATCTACCTTGATTATATGCGGATAGTGATATCTACCTTTGACAATCTTTGAGGTTGTAAAAACAAAAAAAGATCTCGGAGCTCTCTAGAATTAAGTAGAGAGGCTGTACAAACTAGTCCGACTTCGAATCAATTGATTAGTCAGTGAATATGAGGCTAATATCGTGTATCACGTGCACGTGTGGTATGATTCGGCTCTCATTAGACGAGTACCCCTGATTGACCAATGCGGTATCATTGATATTGACTATTTAGAATATGCATCATCAGACTTTAGTGGTAATTTGATTGATTGATTGATTTTATTAACGTCCTTTTTCAGTCCATAACTATTTAGGACAACTAGGCTATAGGGGCCTAGCAAATACTATTGGATATCTACAATAGATATATTCAATTTGGAGAAATAAAAACAAATGTTGAGGAACTAAGCCCAATCTCTATTCAGAATACAAATAGAAATAATTATCTTCATCCTCTAAAACACTTCCTTCCTGACTCTTCCCTTTCCCTAATCTAATTAAAGTATCCCAATATCCAATTTCTCTTTTTTTAAAATCCTAAATCCAATTTGCTATTCCTCCCTTTCTATAAAAGACAAGAGTTATCCTCTTTCGAGTTATTTCCAATATAGCAAAGGGTTTTTTCATTAATAAGATAATAATAGAAGGCATTACTTTTTTCTATCTTTATTTCTTTTAAACTAGCCCTTTGTATATTTTTATAAGCTTGATATCCTCTAGCTCTTATTAGATGTGTATAGTCGAAACTGTTAACAATAGTGGGGCAGAGCCGAGCCCTAAGCTTATACACAAATCAATTCGGAAAATTCGAAAATTCGAAAATTAAAAGGAAAAACGTTATATTATATTGATGCTTAGAGTATAGTATTAATTTGAAGGCAATAGCATTCTTTATATTGTATTGTTATAATATTCGAATAATTAAAAGTCAAAGGATATAAAAAAAGGGATTGTAATACGAGTAGAGTAATAGCAAGCTCTATATCAAAAAGATTCTTTTAAAGAGAAGAGACCTATTGTGTATCTTACTTCTATAAAATAATAATCGATAGTAGATATTGAATCTGATCGGGGTTTCTATAACCTTTGTATTTACATCTAAAGCTGGTATTCAACTTTTTGTAGGTATTGTTGTTGTAAAATCGTAATATAATCCTTCGCTATATCTCTGACACCTCTCTCCTTCCAATTCTTCCGATTCCATCTGCGACTCAATCTTAGCTTTACAGACTCTCAAGAGAGAGCTGGAGGTTCATAGGATGTACCGCGTATAGGTGTTGAGTCTTCGCATCCCTTTAGTGGTAGTAGAGACTATGCCTCAGTGATAGATGAGATCAGACAAAAGTTTGATACTCCAAATATCGTATAATGTACATTTACTGAACTTTTAGTACTCGCTTAAATTGTGGTGAAAATTTATGCAATTTCACGAAATCGATCACATTTTAGGAAAGAAAAAGATTTCCCTTTGAAAGTAAGCTTTCAAGAATAACTATCATGATGTTGTAGAGAATTCTGGATTTTGAGATGATTATAAGTAACTCACATCAAACCTCACTGATGATAAAGCGATAGAACTCTTTGATTTTGCGCGGCTTGTGATGATTTTGTGAGGTTAAATCAAGAATTCATCAGGAAAAAACTCGAGGAAATAATTTCACAAAGACTTCCAGAGGATTTTAGTGTGCTATAACTTGCTTTCTGGCTGGTACGATTGTTCGAGTGATGCCAACCACAAGGCTTATTATAATCAACATCTTCTACTTCAATATCACTCTTGACTCTATAAAGTATATGCATTCTTCAGGCGAAAATTTGAATGGTATTTAGGGCTATGGGGCTCACGATGAGCTCACGCTGTGCTCGTATGATGAGTAGGATATATACAGTTGATTCAAGCCTCGTGGATGTCATGATATAGATGCCGCTCTGAGCAATACGAATCATTTGGGTTGCTAGATGAATGGAGCTGTTGATTTGCAATGCCAAACTTCTCGTGCTTACGTGACACAATGTTGTGCTTTGAAAAGCATAATAATAGCCCTAGTTACCAAGAAGAAGCATCATGTATTCTTCAACGAGAACTTGTAGCTAGAATCAACCGAACACGGCGATGTCTCAAAAGAAAAGTAGCATCTCGACAAAAGGTGTTCATCTTGTTAGGTTCCACCCATTTTTCAATGAGAGAACTTTTTCACGTTCTTCAAAACGCTGCAGACTCTTTCCATGCTTGGGTGAAATCTACAAGTAGTCAAGAACATCAAATCCCCCAGCATTGCTCTTCCAAGTTCCTATTTTCGTGAAACCACTAGTCGTGCAGCTTTAAATTCTATAGTAAATCTTGCTCACATCGACTGTTTTGTGAAACGGCGTTGAAAAAGATATGCCTGTAAGCACAACCACGAATCGCATGAATGGATCTCAAAGGTTGGTAAATTGCGAGTAATTTGTCGTTCAGTAGTTAAAAAATTGGCATCCATGCATCCATGACTCGGTATTTGGGCATAGGACTCAGGCATTCAATTCGCAAGGACCATAAGCAAATGCATTAGCTCGGACTTGGCATATCCCTAATGGTGCTAAGTGCAGCGCTAAGCAATGGCCCTGGGAAGAGAACCCGCTGGATATCGAGCAGTCTGCTTAATAAGAAAAAAGGTATTAGCTAAGAAGATTTTGAGTGTGCATGGAAACCGCCTGTAAATGGAAATGCAATGATACATATGCGTGCGTTACTAGTATGATATCATGGAGCAGATGTCTTGGCATTTTCTATTTCATTGGGGAAATTTGTTAGATCACGTGGATTGCATCATCGTAAGCAAGCTGCAGAGTCGGAAGTAGTATATTAATCGCGGATGTAAGTAAACTAGGAGTCGGTATGGTAGGGATGCACACTTCATAAGTGGTATATATGCATCGACATCTGCCCCGATCTTTCGCTGACTTTTACAAGAAATATCAAGTCTGAGTTCTCCTTCTTCGACGTCACAGTTTTTTGAAAATAAGTCCACTTCAACGTGTCTCCACGCTGCCCGCTTTCATTAGACATGGAAGGCTACAAACTTTCTGCCCCGGTAGATTGCACGAGTACACTTGACACAGGAAGTTTGAAAAGAAAGACTGCTGTCATTACCGGAGGTTAGAGGGAATATTGTTTATAAGTAGAATGTGCTGACCAAGTGCAGGTGCAAATGGAATCGGAGAAGCATATACAAGGGCGCTCTCTGCTGCAGAGTAGGTGGCTATTCGTAAAGTGACATCAAGTTTTTGACATGATCAAAATAGCGTCAACGTATGCATCGGGGACATGGACTCCAAAGGTGGTTCGAAGTTGGCATCGGAGCTTGAGAAGTAAGATTGTGTACCCTACCTTATATTTTGGATCTTGTGCTAATTTCACTAAAGCGCCAAATTTGTGAAGTGTGATGTGACCATTTGGGAAGATCAGCGCCGTCTTTTCACTGAAGCTGCATCTTTCACGGGAAAGGTGGATTATGTTATCGCCAACGCAGGCATCTGTGCTCCTGATGAAGTCTTTACTTTCGCAGGTAACCAATGGATTATCTACACCGCTAACACTCAGCTAACTAAAATGTGAAGGCAAAGGCCAGGAACCCACAGAACCAAATCTGAAAACAATCGATGTCAACTTGAAAGGGACATTGTACACCACAAAACTGGCTCTTCACTACTTTATAGAACAAAATGGAGAGAAGCCATCGCCTCAGCAAGAGGATACATGCTTAGTGCTGATCGGATCTGGGGCAGCATTTCTGGACTGTCTTAGAGGACCTGTATATCCGAGCACAAAATGGGCTGCGCGAGGTATTATGCATTCTCTGCGAAGAACAGCATTCTACCATGGCAGCAGAGTTAATGTCATCTCTCCCTGGTACTCAAATCCCCAATGAACTCAGACTTCCTGTTGCTAATCTGATAATAGGTACGTCAAGACATCGATATTATCTGCAGAAGCTTTCGCGCACGTGGAGAAGTGCGGGGTAAAATTCGCGGAAGCAGAAGATGCAGCAAGTGCTCTTTTGCGAATCCTATCTGATCGAACAATTAATGGCAAATCACTGTTCGTCTCGGCGAGAAAGTGGGCACCAGCAGGGTATCTAGACTTGGACGTTGATGATTACCCTGGGAATGAGCTGATCCAGGAAATTCAGGTGGATCAGATGAAAGCAGCTCCTGTGGACAAAGGCTTGTTTCTGCCGTAGAGTAGATTGTGAATCTCGAGATTTCCGGCGTACTGTAACTTTAAATTTCTCTGATTTGATGACTGGCCTTGGGGCGGTGCAAATGATGTAAATATTCCCCACACATATTTTGTACTAAAGGGGCTTCTGGTAGGTCTGTATTCAATGCTTAAATTGCGTTGATGGAGGGAGAATTGCAATTGAACCGTCGCGTTTTGCCTTTTTCCAAATTTGAGGGAGACATAGGCCACAATTAATGCTCTACGCCAAAGTTAAGAATGCACTCTTTCAGAAACCGCGATATCAAAATACAGCTCCTCTTCGCCGCGTTGACCCCTCCAGAAGTTTGTTGAGTGTAAGAGCTCTCAGCAACCTCTCAACATCCAAGGCCACTTTTCAGCAAACTCTGTGGTGACCTCCCAACTGGATGGGTCCCAAGGACTGCCCCAAACGATAAGACCACTCCTCTCAGACGGAGCATGACACACTTCAACCAGATCATGGCAAAGGTCGTCGTCATCAAAATCTTCACCTTTGCTTAACATGTTATCACGTAATTCCGGAAAAGGAAACAGATCCAAATAGGGATGATGGGAGACTTGACGTTGAAGCGCGATTGGACAAAGACTGGTTGGGTGACTCGTGTCCCAAACGAGTGAGGTGTTTTGGTAAAATGGTGAAATTGCATCTGCCGTCAACCAGTCAAGATTGAACCCTAGAGAAATCATGTTGCTAAACAAAGCACGAAAGACGTTGAACTGAACCAGAGTGAGGAGGAGGTCAGCGCGGGGAGAGATGGTCATGCGCTGACGAGAAATGAAATGCTCAACTTGTCTAATAATACATTGAACCTGGGGGGGCGTCAGGTCTGATGAAAGTAAATTTTGTTTGTAATCGTATTCAGTAAATGGCCCCGGGGAAGTGGCGTCTGCAGAATCCTCGGGTTGCTTCCGTTGTTTGATGGCTTCGAGGATAGCACACAAGTGTGGGTCAATTTCCGGTTCCAATGGTTTCGTCTCTTCCATAACCAGGCTTGCAGGGGCTGATTGCATGCTCAATAATTTTCGTCGTCTCCCTAAAAAACATAAGAATATAAACATGATTTAGAGCCACTCATTCGATGTTATTCGGCCGAGGTCAGGATGTTAATGCACAAGGAAGTCTGTTTGGCTATCGAGCTTACTATAAAGTCTTTGATGCAGCCGATTCTGACGTTTCCTTCGCTCAGCAGCATTTGTACTGCCTGTCCAGTCATCTTCCGCGAAACGGACTTCTGCTTGCTGTGGCATCCGTCCCAACAGCACGCTTCCGACCAGTTCTCCACCTTCTTCTGGACGACTCGCATTGTTTTCCATGTTGAGCAGGCGAAATACTTGATGGTCAGCGAGATTGAGATTGTTGAAATTAAGCAATATAGATTTTGTTGAGGAGTTTTATTGAGCTTAATGGAAAACTTGCATGAGCGAACAACTCGTTTTAAATTTTGGTAACTGCAATCGATGGTTTTGTGATTGGGATCATGAATCACCAGTGTGGCGATGTCCCTGCTCCCATTCCCCGCTCTTTAGCTCCTTGACAGCCGAAAGTTAAAAAGGTGCTAGTCGCTGCGACACGTGCCCGGTAATATCACGGTTGATTACTAATCAGTTCAACTTCAATCGGAATGATAGTTTTAAGAGCTACCTACTCGAGCCACCGTCATCATTATTATCATCATTACTGCCGTCATTCTAATAATTTGCTTATAATAACTCAATCCTGGTGTTTTATCTCCCAGCTCTTGATTGGTTATTTGATTGAATAACAGCCTTTACAGAGGCTCGTGTTGTTGAAGTCAAGGTAAGGTTTTGTTTGCCTATCTATTATGCCGAGCGTGCCAAGTATAATTTAGCAGCACTGATGCAGACTGCTTACGCCCCACTCCGGAGAGTCTACCGACAGAGGTTCTATATATGGTAAGCGAGCCGACAAGTGAGCTTCCAGATGTACGACGCAATCATCAAGTACCTCCAGCAGTACCGAAATCTCGATTTGTCATATTGCATGCCGTGGGTAGCACAGCCTTAGACTCGGCGTGACTGTTAATATCCCCTCTCAGGGAATGTGTGATCGGGTCTTCTACGGAATAAATTAGTTAGGGGGGGATAATACTAGTTTTTTACCCTCGGGTACGCTGAGATTTGGGATAATATCATCTGCTATTGAACGAACTCGGTTTCAGTACAGTAAAACAGCTGAGACCTATTGCCTCTCCGCCCGATTGGTGTGAACAATATTTGAATTATGCACAGTATGAGGTAGTCGCTAGTCCAGGTGAGTTCTTCCTGATCTTCAGGTGAGCATACACATGTCTCGGATGCTTTAGCTACAGCAGCTACTAGGAAAATGTTTATAATATTCCCCAAGTAGGTCATGGATCGATCGAGATCATTAGTTTTGGGGTAAACTGACAGGTGTACTAGATATGATTATTCTCGGAGCTCGTCATAATTTAAACGTTTCTTGGCAAGCAAGCAATACCAGCGGATCTAGGGACTATTAACCCACAAATAAAGGCTTGGAACCAATTGCAGTTGTTTCTTAGATGGCTGAAGGTCAATAGGAACACGCGTCCTGCAGCACCTTGAAGAGGCAGTGTATCTTTAATTCCTTGAAGAAACCTTATAGCATTGCATGAAATTACTCGTGACATAGCATACGTCAAGCAAGCTATGGCAATGAAAGGGTTTTTTGCTGGGCTCATCAACTATAAGAACAGCGACATGTCGCTTCGTCACAGTCTATCCTGTCACTCACATCCACAGGAAGCTTCATTTTCAGACATAATTCGAAGAAAACAGTGTCATCATGAAGACAGGCGTCAGTATTGCCTCACTCAGCGTCACTGTTGCGAATATTTCGCTCACAATGGCACAGAACATGTCTTACGGGGCCGACAACTGGTACCGCAGCGATCAGGTGACTGTTCAGCCGATCAACTTCCTGACCCAATTTCGAACTTCCGTCGCGGGGAACATCTTCATTCGCAACGATCTTGCTCGCAACAACCAGACCGCCAGTACGCCTGCCATTGTCGTCGGTCACCCAATGGGTGCGGTAAAGGAACAGAGTTCCAACCTCTATGCCACGAAGATGGCTGAGCAGGGCTTTGTGACCATCTCTCTCGATCTCCCATTCTGGGGCTCTAGCGAGGGCGAGCCAATGAACACCGTGTCGCCAGACTTCTACGCCGAGGCTTTCAGCGCGGCAGTGGACTATCTGGGCACACAGGCATTTGTTGATCGCGAGCGGATCGGCGCGATTGGTGTTTGTGGCAGCGGTTCATTCGTTATCAGCGCCGCCAAAATCGATTCTCGCATCAAGGCCATCGCCACATCGAGTATGTACGACATGGGATCAGTATCCCGCAACGGACTTCGTCATGCCCATACTGTTGAACAGCGCAAAGAAATGATTTCACGCCAACACACAACAAATTTCGAAGGAAACTTTTTCTTCGAAATACGACCCTTTCGCGATCGATTTAGATCATAGTTATTAAACCAAATTGATTGCAATTGCCCCCAAGTGATTCTGACCAGTAGTTGTTGTGATACTGTTGTCGGCGCTCTAAACACGAAACTCATACGAAAATTCGCGTAAAATTTTCATTCCAAACCTTCAAAATAAGAATATAACTCCTAATATGGATTGTTGCAATAATCCATCAATACTTCGGGATATAGCTATAATAAAGGCTTTTTCTGAAGCCTTTATTATATTAAACACTTATCTTATTATTATTCTAGGTATTCCAATACCTTCAAGCCTTTCTTTGCCTTCTGAAAATCTTTAATTCGAAATCTCTAGCTCTATTTTATTAATCAACTAGCTAACTAGTTTTGAAAAAAGAGTTGAAGAGTTTAATTTATTTAGTGACCTTTTTATTATTCAAGATACAATTAATACTATCTATATATTTAATCAGAATAAGAAACGGTGCTCCACAATATCCCTTAGCAATCAGAACAAATAATCTAGAATATAAAACAAGGTAATTACACCAAAGGAAACAATTCTAAAAGTAAAAGATCTTATAATATTAACCTTAATTTTTTTTTAATCACATAATGAGCAATTAAAGCTATTAAATCTCCTAGAGATCTTTAGAGAATATACCGAAAAAGGAAAGCTTACTATAGCCTTCAATATTATTATATCCCAAATCACTTATCTCAATCAGCTATACGGAAAATCAAATCCCAAGCTAAAATACTAGCTAAAAATCCAATTCCAATTACTACAATACCAATTAAATCAACTTTTGCAATTATAACAAAAGAAGGAGAATGGAATCTAGTCAGTAAAGGAAAAGCTATTAAGCCTATTCCAATAGACAAAAAGATTGAAATCACTCAAAGACGCCTAATCCTGATCAAACCAGAAATCCCAAACTCTACTTCCTTCTCCTCCTTAACTATTCGAAACAAAATAAACGAAGCCTTTCAAAAGAGTGGAATTAAAGGACCAGTTATCGCAGTAGCTATTCTATCCTTCAATAACAATATCATTATTATAGCAAACGATCTCTTTATATTACAATTCCTTTTAGAAAAGAAAACTATTTAGAATAATATTATTAAATTTGAGAGGATTCAAAAGGATTAAAAATGGTATAAAGTTATTATCCACAAAATCCCAATAAGAGAATTCTCAGGACCGAAAGGAATGGATTTTATTTTAGAGGAAATCAAAACCTTTAATCCAGATTTCAAATCAATCAGAACCCTCTTCTGGCTTACACTAGCTTCCAAAAAAGCTCATCAATGAGAGGGAGCTATAGTTATTGCTTTTGCCATAAAATCAGAAGCAGAATTAGCTATTCAAAAGCAACTATATATTGCTGAAAGTAATACAAGAATAGAAACTTCTATAAATCGAAACCAACTATACAATGCCAAAAGTGTTAAGGGTTTGGATATCAAGATGTTTATTGTAAAAGAAACCCTTTTTATGGTTTATATGAAGGCAAGTATATTATATTAGTATATTTATGTATGGTATGTAATATTAAGAAAAGTTCTATCAATACTTAGTAGCGAAATACTCGAATTGCTAAGGGAACCATGCAGTAAATTCAAAAATATGCGAAATCTATTAGGCTATTCAATAAAAATCGAATAATACTTATTAATAAATTATACTAATATTCAAATTATTTAAATAAATCTTAATTGAAATTTACAAGCTATAGAGAATGTTTTATAGTTTGTAATAAACTCAATATCAATCTTATTATTATTCAAGAACCTTGAATTATCAAAAATGAAAATAATTATTCAAATGCAAGATCGACTATACACTCTAATTTCACACAAACACTTCCGAAATTCGATCCCAAATACCAACCACGAACACTATTATACACCTCAAAAACCCTTCAATTTACAATCAACCTTTCTCCCGATTCTCCAAGAGATCCTGATATTCAGATTTTCGATTATCGAAATGGAAATAAAACCTTCCAAATAGTTAATATTTACAATAAAGCTGATCAAGCTAAAGAAAAGGGCTTTACAATTGAAAGATGCTTATACAATTCAATGATTATACAAGAAACCATTCTCCTAAGCGACTTCAATTCTCATCACCCATGATGGGATCCTTTTTTGGAGAAGAGTGGAAATGTTGATCAATTAACCGAATGGTTTGAAGATTAGAATCTTATTTTTCTTAATGAGCCTGGTTTCAGTATCTTTTATTATACCAATCTCTTCAATTCAAGTATCATTGATCTTACATTAGTCTTAGAAGGAATCGCCTCTCAAATCCAAAACTGGCAAACACTTTCAGATACAGGATCCGATCATACAGGAATATTATTCGAGCTAAAGGGAAAAGAAGCAAGCCCCCTTAACACAACATCGCTAGCTAGATACAATACAAAGCTAGCTAATTGGGATAAATTCGAATCGATATTGAAATCAGAATCATTATATTCCCCTATTCTCTCTACTCTGGTATCAACAGTCTCATCTGAAGAGGATTCGCTAAACGGTTTGAAAGAAAGAAATAATTATTCTAATCTGGATCAAGCAGCAAGCGAACTTACAAGGATTATCCAAAAAGCTACTGAAAATTCCATACCTAAAGCTTCGTCGACTAGAAGAGCGAAGCCATGGTGGACCCCCGAATTAATAGATCTTCGAAAAGAGCTAGGAAGAGTAAAACAATCAATTGAATTGGATCTGGAGAACTTAAGCCTCAAAGAAGAATATCGAATTACTAGAAACAAGTATTTTCAGGCTATTAAAACAGTTAAAAAGAATTATTGGAATGAATTTCTAGAAAAAGAGAATACACAGATAATATTCAAAGCAATAGCTTATACAAAGGATTATCAAAACCAAAGAATACCGGACATTTCAACAGAAAGCTCTTTTGAAGGAAAATGCTTTGCTTTTAGATCAACTCTATTCCCACCTCCTCCTATCACTCCAAAACCATAATGGGAAGGATACAAGCAATCCAAGAAATGGGAATGGCCTAGTCTTTCACAAATCGAATTAAGTAATGCTTGCTCAGCCAAAATCCAAGGAAAAACCCCTGGCCCAAATAAAATCACTCAGGAGATCATTATGAAAGCATACAAAGCAATTCCATGGATCTTTTTCAATCTATTCAGCAATCTAATCAATTTAGGATACCACCTACAATGCTGGAAACAAGCCATTGAAGCGATTCTAAAGAAACCTTCAAAACCCAATTACTCAGCCCCAAAAGCATATAGAGTCATTACACTTCTAAACTGCCTTGGAAAGATTAGCGAAAGGATTTTAGCTCAAAGATTAGGCTATTTAGTAGAAACTACTAATCTATTATATAAGAGTCAAATTGGAGGCTAACAAAAGAAATCAGCAATTGATGCAACCCTTTTTCTAATTACCGAAATCGAAAGAAACAAGCAAATCCATAAAAAAACCTTAATTCTATTTATAGATATAAAGGGAGCCTTCGATTATATTTCAAGAAAATCGATTACTAGATATTTATAAGAAATTGAAACTGCTAACGAATCTCATCTCCTGAATAGCCTCTTTTCTACAACAAAGACAGCTAAAACTTTCTTTCAATAATCAAATCGAATCCTTCAAGCCTATTTCGACCGGAATACCACAAGGCAGTTTTAATTTCTCTAATCCTTTTCCTAATATATATTAAAGAATTATTCTTTTCAAAATCGATTAAATTTCTTTTCTATATTGATGACATTGCTTTAATCACAAACTTATCCTTATGGAAAAAGAATATTAGATTTCTTGAGAAAGTTATAAAGCAAATCTACAAACTCAGCTCGAAAAATGCGATTCAATTCGATTTAGTAAAAACAGAATTAATACACTTCTTAGCATCCAAGCTAACCAAAAACTTCCCAATCACATTACCCAATTTGGATATTATTAAATCTCAATCTTTAATTAGATAGTTAGGTATATGGTTCAATCCAAATCTCAAATTCAATTAATATATCAATATCCAAATCATACAAGCAAAAGAAGCTTTTTATTAAATAACTCAACTAGCAAATATTGAAAAAGGCCTAAGTCCTAAAGCTTTTCAACAATTATATATAGCTTGTGTGACTAGTATAGCTGATTACAGATCAATGATTTGGTGAAGAGGACAAGCCCACTTCAAGGATAAAATGCAAGCTCTTCAAAACCTAGCTTTCCGAAAGATACTAGGAGTTTTCAAAACCGCTCCAATTCTTCCAATGGAAATCGAATCGGAATTAAAACCAGCAAATATCCGATTAGACTCAAACATCAAGCAATACGCTTTTCGATTAACAAAACTCTCATCCAAACATTCAATCAACATCGAAAAAAGCTACTCTAGCATATCAATACGCTAATCGGGAAGCGATCAACACTCCTCAAAGAAAGCTATACAAGCCAATTCAACTCGATAGAATTAGGGAATCAATTGATAAAAAATTTGATTCATTCTCTCTCGAAAAGATTATCCATTTTCACTTCCCTCCATGGAAAAAGGAAATCCCTTTCAAAGTTAATATTAGCCAGGCTTCAAAAGAAAATGCAGCAATACTCCACAATATCATTCTTAAACACAGAGATCAAAATACTATTTACATTTATACAGATGCTTCTTCCACTGAAAAGGGAATAGGTATTGGTGTAGGGATAGTATCAATACAATCGAATAATCAGATTTCATATCAAGAACAAGTCAATATTGAAAGCAATCAATTAGTTTATAATGGAGAGCTATATGGAGTCACCTGAGCTATCGAATATGCTAGCTCAATTGCTAGTAGTAGAAAGAAGTTCAAGATTTATTCAAATAATCAAATAGGCCTTCTTCGATTGAAAATACCCTTAGACCACCCAGAGCAAGTATATCAAATTCGAGCAATCAAGGTAGTCGAAGTTATTATAACTAAAGGATCTGAAATATCCTTGAATTAAATACCAGGGCACACATCAGTTAAAGGGAACGAGCTAGTAGATAAGCTAGTAAAAGAGGTTACTACA